GTTCATCAGCTCGCAGGCTGCAGGGGAGGAAACTATAACGTTAGACAAAAACATGTCTAATAAACGGGTAGGAAAAGAGCCAAAGTTGTAGAAAACAATAAAGGTGATCACAGCAGCATTTTTAAGTACAAGAATAAAGTCATAATATGAGAGAAAAGTCATAATTAAAGTCATAATATTACAAGTTTAAACTCATAATATTACGAGATTAAAGTCATATTACAAGAACCTTTGCATGATTAAGCAGTCTTATCACTGCGTTAAAATGAGTAATGTTGAGCAACTTATGAAGTTGTTCTTTAGTATCAGTTAAAAGAAATAATCTTTAGCATCACATTATCAGTAGCAGGACTTTGAAACGATTGTGCAAACAACTATATGATAAACTGAAGCCGTGCTGTAATTAATGGCTGCATTGCCAGATTTAGTCGTCATGTAAGTTGGATGAAATCATATTACACCAGCAGTGACCCAAAAGTCATTGTGGACTATTTAATAAACGCAGAGACACACATGACTGTCCAGGTGTTGGGAAGATGTTGAGGAAATGAGTAAAACCAGGAACAGAAAATGGGCGTGTCATGTAAGACTATGACCTTACTTTTGGAATTAAAAATAAATAAATCTCGTGTAGCTCTAACACACTGAGGTGTAATAACCACGTCTGATGGTTCTGCAGAACTGCTGCTGCTCAATGRAGAGAGAAACTCTGAAACAGGCTGGTTGAACAGCAAGAATCTTTATGTTGCAGTCCAGGAGATTACAGCCAAAAACCAAATTGTGGCCTTCTAGCCAAATGAATCACCAAAGTAAAAAGATGAAGAACGAAGGCGAAGGGTTGGGGCGTACAAGCCTCTTTATAGGTTGCACAGTGTAGTTCAACAGAGGCATCATAAATTTTGTCACGGTATACCTTAAGCATTCCTTTTCCTAATAAGGTAATATGTGCCGAGCTCTGAAGCTGGAGAACCAAGAGAGGCATAACACATCTGTGCATTCCTGAGAAGAGGTCCCCACTCTTGGACACTAAAACTCCACTGTAATAGAGTACCTCAAAGTGACACGGGAATAAAAGTACAGGTATYTTACCATACATTTACTTTAGTACAAGTTAAAGTTTCCTTTGGGAATGGTACTTGTTTAAAAGTCTTAACATTTCTGACGTTTACAGTACTTAAATATCTAAAGTACATGTTTGATATAAAATGTAATTAAGTATTAAAAGTACCAGTGGTGGGCACAGTTCTCCTAAGCACTAAAGCACTAAAAGGGGAACTAATTTCATCATTAGTGCTTTAGGGCTTTTGCTAATTTTAAAATTTATTTGTGGATTACTTGCTAAATTTATAGGCTAAATTCAGAAGCACTGAGGTCTATAAATKTTATTGATCAACGTTAATGTTAACACACAGTGACAGGTTCCCGCTCCTATTGCCACATGCAATGGCCCACCTCATTTGTCAATCATTTGGGGGTGGCACCTGGGGTGGCCAGTCAGGTGTAAGATGTGGCCACCCCAGCCACCCCTCTGGCTCCGCCCCTGGTTCTGAGCCAAATTCTAAATAATTTCTTTGTTATAAACTCATCATTTGAAGACAGAAACATGCATATCAAGTGCATCCCTGAGTAATGCTGCTTTATATCCTAAAGTGTGTGTTTTCTCTTCGGGAGAGCTACTTCTTATTCACTTTAGTTTTCCAGCATCAAACTGAATCCTCATGAAGACTCTTTCCTCTCCTGCGTTCAGACTAAGAGCCGTAGTTTAAACCTTTTAGGAGCCTTTCATCTCTGCTTAGAGCCCGAGTTTCTCTGCAGGAGAAGATCTGTCCACACAAAAAGGTCAAGAAATCCTTCAAAAGGCAGCAAGCATGTTATGACGGAGCTCTCACCGGGGGGAAATCTAAAATGGAGAAAAAAAGTATCCGTGCCGAGGTGGAAAGGCATAAAGCAAAGCCAGGTCGCCTTCCAGGAAAACAGCRGAACAGCTGGCTGGTAGCTGGGACCCCGCTGCTTAATGTTTGATGAGTCAAATTTGGCTGAACTCGGGCTGGATGTCTCCGAGCCGAGAACAAACAGAGGACAGAGTTTCTGCCGAGCAGAACTTCATCAACATTCAGCCACCTAAGTGCAACAAATTCATCTTTATTATGGGAGAAGCCTTCTGTTGGAGAGAAGTGATTCATCAGCATCTGGCAGCCTTAAAAAAGTGATTACAGGGCAGAAACAATCTCATCAACAAAATGTAAATTGTCTGAAAGATAATGAGACAAATGTGGCCTCGGAGAAAGAGGAACTAATGAACTTTCACTGAAGTAATTAATGTGCAACATTTTCACTAATTATTTATCATTTTCTCCCACTGAGATGTAACCAAACTCTTAGGTCAACTTCATGAAAATGTATCTCATGATCTCAGAAGCTGCATCTATAAATCAGCCTGAAGGAGCTGCTAGCCTGTTAGCTCCAAGCTGATTCTTCCAGGGTTCAGCTCTTTACTGGCAGCTAAAAACTTCAGATGTTGTTTAGTTCGGAAGTGTTCAGTTTTTGTTTGGGAACCTCAGGGCTGCTATTTGATGGTTCTGTTCCAGGATAAGACCTTCAGCGTGCTCCGGGACGGTCCAGAACCAGGAGAGGACTCGGTGTCTCAAAGTCTGAGGTCAGGGTTCTCAAGCAGAACACATCTAAACACTGCTCAGGTTAGGTCACTGCATCAAGAGGAGAAGGATCTGGATATCTGGTTCCAGTTCTGTGGACAGGAGCAGAAGTCTAAGGCTACGTTCACACTGCAGGCAAATCCGACCCAAATCCGATTTTTTTGACCCATCTGACTCATATCCGATTTTTTTATGACAGTCTGAACGAGACAAATCCGATTTTTTCAAATCCGACCCAGGCCGTTTCAGTATGTGGTTTTAAATC